ATACGTTATGTATTTTCTCCGTCTTTGGTCTAATCTATATATCTATGTCAGAAATGACATGCCCCTGTGGGCTGATCCGTCATAAAGAGGTATGGCCCAGCTATCCAGGCAGACGGACAATAAGTAAGTCAGTAAGTCAGTAAGACGAACCAATACATGAATGGACGTTGACGGTGACGGTGACGGTGACGGTGACGTGGCCTGGACCAAGAAAAGATACGAGTTTCTTTTCTCGTTACAATCGGGAATGGTAATTTTCATTCATTTGCTCGCTTTCTAGTTCGTTGGGGTTTTCTATGGCCAGAGAAAGAAACTTATAGACCAAGTATAGACGGAGTGAGTGAATGGGGGAGTTGGGGAGAGTGTTTGCTGTCTATTGTAACCTCGTATAAACATCATCTCAAATCAGATAGATGGCAACGCAACACCAACAACACCACACCGACATCAGGGTTCAGATCCAGGTCCAGCAGCCCCTCAGTGCTGAGAGATTCTTCCTGAAACCCCTGCGTAACCCACTGCTGCTGCTGATGGTGGAGTGGTGTGGTGTGTGTCTCATTCTGATTTGAGAGAGTCGACTGATCGTATACTGTCGACCGGAAAACCGCGAATATATCCATTCCAGTCTGTGACCCGAAAAAAAAAAAATCGAGCAGTCCTTCACTCTCGTCTGCAAACCATTGTAAACGCCCTATAAGAAAACGCTGCGAACGCGAAAACAGTCTGGTTCCTACCTCTGGTAGGAGGCACGTCTTTCAGCATCGGAATGCTCCTGGCGCCTTGCTGGAACGCGGGATTGAAAATTCAGGCGCTGACTTTGGCTGTCAAGCGCCGTGTTACTCGTCGTCAACGTTGTCGTCGCTGCCTTCACTGTCTTCTTCTTCTTCATAGTCTTCGTCTGCGTCGTCGTCACTCTCGACAAGGAGTCGGCCACTTTGGGTAATGGCCTTCTTTGTCTCTGTCTCGTTTGATTCCAGCTCGTCATTTTCCTTCTCGTCCTCTTCACCTTCGCCCTCGGCTTCCCCTTCTTTCTTATCTCCAACAACTTCATCTACCTTGTCTGCAACTGCTTGGACCTCGTCCAACGCGCTCTTGGCCACATCATCTCGGTCAAATGTCGGCATCTCGTGGACATCTTCCTTGGACGGCACGACGACCTTGAGCTCGAGCTCTGGCTGTTTGCTGTACACACGCAGCCCCACAACACAGCTTGCGTTCCAGGGGTTGCGGTTTGGGTCTTTCTCATTGTCGTCAGCATCTTGTTTGCTCTCTTCCGCTGGTGCGGGCGTTGAAGCGGTCGAAGAGGTGGATGGAGTTCTGACTCCCGAAGGAACAGGAGTCGATGTTCCAGAGACAGAAGTTGAGGTGGCCCCCGATGGTGACGAGGATGAAGGAAGTTGACCTTTCTGATGGGCCAAATCATACAGTTTGCCAATCTGAGTGATTTTGTCGCGACGGTGGATATTCTTTCTGATGACATTTTCCACCTCATCTCTTCCGGTGGAATGCGCTTCGACTTTGATCAGCACAGTATATGTGCCCTTGGTCAGGTGGGCCTCCACATTCACAGACCGTATCAGCTCATAGTTCATCTTGCTGCGGGCGAGGTATTCCTCTTCGTCGTCGTCGTCCTTCTGGATTCGGAATTGCAGAGTGTAATTGTACTTGCCCTGTAGTCCCTTGAAGTACCGATCGTCAAGTTGGGAGAGCACAATCACCGCATCCGTGTCCTCGGGGACAACAATTGAGAAATGGTTGGTTTGGTAGTCCAGCGTACTCCAAGGGACTTGCACCGACATCCACTGCTGAGCGACCTGCCACTCAGGCCCAAATATCCGGGTTCGATCAATGTACTTGTACTTGCTCAGCATGTCCTTGTACGTCATCCAGAAGACGCCATCGTCGCCAAACTGGTGGTTCAGCCTTGTCAACCACTCAGCAGTCCACTCTTTAGAGCCATCACTCCAGGCACCTGTCCATTCTTTCCTACCCCAAGGGTTGCGGATTTTGACCAGTCGTTGGCCGTGGCCTTCGTATGTGTCGAGGACCGCGTAGGCGTGCTGGCTGACAATCCCTGAGCGACGTTCCTCTCGGATCTTTTCATTGGCCACTAGATATGGGCGCCACTCGCGCCAGCGTGCAGCAGCACAAGAGAAGACAAAGTCCTTCCCAATGCGGCTAAGTTCGTTTTTCCAAAATTCATCTGTGTCGAGGATGTTGGTGGTATAAATTTCCGTCGTGACGCCACCTGTCAGATCTTCGATGGCCTCGCCGGTCTGTCCACCCGAAATTGACGCATAATCTCCATGCGCTTTAGCATAAGCCTTTTCGAGAAGACTCACCCAAGTCTCGTTCTGATCGCGGCACTGGGCGAAGTACAGTGATTTGGATCCGCGTTGGAAGAGTTCTTGATACTGATCTTCCTGGTCTGGACGTCGAATTCCATATTGTCCCAGGACCACATCCCCACTCTCGTCGTATGCCGGTGCCCGGAGGTATAGCTTGTCATCAATTATGCACTGGTGCCATTCACCGTCACGGTGGAACACAAAGCCATAGACACCAACGGCCTGGTCTTGAATCACGCAAACACGATCAATGAATTGCTGATTGCAGCTCAAGGTAGAAATGGCGGCTAGGAACCAGCAGTCTCCTGCCGACCCCTGAAGAATGTCGTCGTATGAAACACCATTCACGTAGAATTTGGGTTCATCGAAGATATCCTAGGATTTTGGTCAGTAAAGTGTGAATGCCATTACATAAAATACTTACTGTGACTCGCTTTGCATCTGCTGGGTGCTCTTTATCGTCGTCGGCAATGATCAATCCATCTAGGCAATCCCTGACCCGTGTGATTTTCAAATCTCTTTCGATATCCCAGTGAGAATCGGTGTATTTCTGGTTTGAGGCTCGGCATTCCTTGATGATGCGTTTGACGTCTCGGATACAGGATGCTTTGGCGTCCTCGTATGACTTGATGGCTTTGTGAGCAATCTCGCCGACCAATGTCACCGCGCTCAGATCCTTCTCCGTGATGCGGTCCGGTAGAACGCGAGTGACTTTGCCAGTATACTCGGGATCGAAGTTCTTCCAAAACTTCTTCATCTTAGCCTGAGGGTGAGGCTTCTTTTCCTTCGCTGGAGCGGGTGGAGGGGCTGGTGGTTTGTCCGGCACAAGCATAAGCTTGATGGTTTGTCCACCTCCCAGCACCAACCCATCCTTGGGAGTTGCAGGTTCATCTCCTGTGCGGTTGGTTGTAATATTAAAAGCCGGACTCGGCCCATCACCAGACTGTTTCCCATCTCCGTTGGCCTGCTCATCTGCCCCTTTCGAAGCGGAATTGGAAGCAGTCTCTTGGTGTCCACCAGAAAGATCCATATTCATGCCATTGCTATTGGGCTCGTCATCATCAGGATCGTTGTCCTGGAATTTGACTTGGTGACGAGACGGGTGGCCGTCACGAACAAAGAGGTATTCCGACATTGTCTGCAGCAAGGCTGTAAGGAGACAAAGAGTGGAGAAGGACCCTGGAATGCAGGGTCTCTGAATATAAACATTCGTCGCATAATCGGCTCACGAGGCTTAGGAGGCAAGTTAGGCCACCGCCCCGGTCTATCTCTGCGTGTGAGACACTAGAGAAGGAAATGGGATCCTATCTTCCATATTTCAATGCATGGTGAGGCTTGGTTAGTCACACGAATGGGCGGTAAGAAAGCTATCGATACCGGTCAAGGCTTAGCTCCGAAGGGTGGCTCTAAGCGAGTAGGCTCGTAGGGTCGAGACTCGGCCAACCGTGATAAGACAAGTCTCTGGGCGACCCAGTGTGTCTGTGAGGGTCTTCCGGGCGCCAATAGGCGGTCTCACTGATGGCGAAGGCCATGGGGAAGATCCGGGAGGGTCGCATGCTCAATTGAATGCAGAAGTCTTAAAGAACAAAGCCGGGACATTAACGAGGCTAGAGCGCCCAGAAACAAAGGGACCGCTGTATGTAGCTAGCCCAGAGACCTAGAATCATCTGCGAGGGACCGGGGCGCCAACGGCCGTGTTCGTACCTGCACAGGCCTCCTGCCTGCGCACGGACTTGGGAAGATCAGAGTCATGGCAGCGTTGCAGCAGACGGGGTTCTGGCCCTGAAGAAAACGGGCAGGGCCGGGAAACGAAGTCATGCCATGAACAGCTGAGAGTTTGGGGGCCGGTGGCTCGACAAGGCGATTTCCACTGAGGCGGTAATTCTTCGAGGAACATTCGAACAGGATGAGGCTGAATCCGGCCTCGGAGCAGCGGCACGGCGGGCTGAAAACCTAGGTACTTGTGAGTATTCGCAGGTGAGGTGTCAAGGTGTGTACAAGTACGGCACAATCGGAGTGCATTAGAGATCCGCGAACAGGGCAAATTCCGTAAAGACTAGAGGTTGGAAGAGGCGACAGATTGCTTGAGAGTGAGTCGACGTTGGGACCGCAGTCCACAAAGGTGCCTGTCACGTGGGAGACCACACTTCGCTAACATCTAGTGCCGGGGCTCGAAGTCTTAACTGGCATCCGGCGGTGAGCCTATTTGTGCCTGTTAAAACGCCACCGGGAGGGCCACCACGCCTAGGGTTGGAGCCTGGTGGGTGCCTGGCACAACCACTCGGTATACCTCCCAATTAATTTCGGGGTATTACTCGTAGGGAGCGCGTTGGCTGGTGAGGGGTAGCTCTTGGAAGTAATAGGCATTCAGTAAATTGTTTGGGGTTGCTTTAACCCCGATAATACCGGGGATCCTCACTGCATCATCATTTCGACGCCTTGCACGCCCCTACCCACTCTCCCACTATAGCTAGGCCTAAGCATTGCCCGTTGGTGCCGTGACTGCGCTTTCGTCAAGCCTATTGTCATCTCTGTTCGATTGCCAAAAATCTCGGCAAACCACGCCTTTGAACACACCCTCCACGATTCTTTCTCTCTGCGTCGACGAACAGCATCCCATTCTGTCCTTACATGCCGAGCCAATTGCAGTAGATGAGGGATCTAGAAGGGTTGCAGTCTGTTCTGGCTGCGTCGGGAGACTTTACGCCCAATTCTGACCCTTCTAGTCGTTTATTATCACAATCACATCAACCATTCTGCGGCGATGCGGAGGGTTGGGGCCCAGTGAGCTCCCTGCGATGGGACCTCACACCATGCTTCCTTGACGTTTGGATTCTGGGGGTCGCTCTTTGGGGTGTGCTATTTGGTGCTGGAGCTTTGTGGTATTTGTTCACCAAACGCATCGCCCAGGATGTACCCAAAAACTGGCATTTCCATACAAAACTGTGAGCCTCCCTGGAAATATTCCTTACCTGGGACTGTGGTTAACTTGATAACAGAGCCGTCCTCGGTGCCATTATCCTCACGACCGCCCTTCAGGCCTCTCTGCAGATCGAACAATTACCTGGTGTTTGGTTTCAAGACATCCGATTCTATACCTCGATCGCCACAATTATCTCGCTCCTAGTCATCGCCACGATACAATACCATGAGCATTCGCGGTCGCGGAATCCAAATGGCGTTGTGCTGTTCTACTGGGTCTTCTTCATTCTGGCTTACGGAGTGAAGCTGCGTTCGCTGGTGGCGAGGAATTCATACAAGGATCGGCTTCCATACTTCATCACATTCAACATCAGTCTCGGCCTAGCGGTGGTGGAGTTCATTCTTGAATATCTGGTTCCGAAGAAGCAGAGCGTTTACGATGCGCTGGGGGCGGATGACGAGTGTCCATATGAATATGCCGACATTTTCTCGGTTCTCACTTTTGGCTGGATGACACCTCTGATGAAGTTTGGCTATAACAATTTCCTCACCCAAGATGATCTGTGGAATTTGCGAAATCGCGATACTACCAAGGTCACCGGAGACAAGTTGCAGAAAGCTTGGGAGATCGAGCTGGAAAAGAAGAGACCAAACCTGTGGATCGCTTTGGGTAGAGCATTTGGAGGGCCATATCTACGCGGAGCACTGATAAAAACCGTCAGCGATTGTTTGGCATTTGTCCAGCCCCAACTGCTTCGACTTTTGATTCAATTTGTCAATTCTCATCGGTATGCCGAACCTGAACCAGCGATCCGGGGGGTCGTCATTGCGTTGGCCATGTTTGCGACTTCAATCTGCCAGACCGCCGCTCTGCATCAGTACTTTCAGCGTGCTTTCGAGACTGGCATGCGGATCAAGTCCTCGTTGACTGCCATGATCTATTCAAAGTCACTGCGGTTGTCAAATGAGTCGAGAGCTACAAAATCCACCGGCGACATCGTTACATACATGAGCGTTGACCAACAACGACTAGCCGACCTTGCTCAATGGGGCCAACAGCTATGGTCAGCACCGTTCCAAATCACCCTGTGTATGATCTCGCTATACCAATTGGTGGGAGTCTCATGCTTGGCCGGGGTTGGAGCCATGATTGTCATGATTCCTATCAATGGCTTCATCGCGAGATTCATGAAGAAGCTGCAACTGTCGCAGATGAAGTACAAAGACCGTCGCGCCCGACTTATGACAGAGATTCTCAACAACATGAAAAGCATCAAGCTCTATGCGTGGGGCTCTGCGTTCATGGACAAATTGAGCCATGTGCGCAATGATCTCGAGTTGAACAACCTTCGCAAAATCGGCGCAGCACAATCGTTCGCGACCTTTACATGGTCTTCAACACCTTTTTTTGTGTCGTGCTCGACCTTTGCGGTTTTCGTCCTTGTCAACAACAAACCATTGACAACGGAATTGGTGTTTCCAGCTCTGACTTTGTTCAATCTATTGACGTTCCCCCTCACAGTACTCCCTATGGTTATCACCAGCATCATCGAGGCATCAGTGGCCGTGGGCAGATTGACTGCCTTCTTCACCACGGACGAGCTTCAGGATGACGCGGTGAGATTTATCGACGAGCCCCCAAAACAAGCCGGGGATGTGTCCGTCTCTATCAAGGATGCTACTTTCACTTGGGACAAGAATGCAGGCAAGAATGTCCTCCAGAATATCAACTTCACCGCCAACAAAGGAGAACTGACCTGCATCGTTGGTCGAGTGGGGGCTGGAAAGTCGTCGTTGTTGCAAGCTATGCTTGGTGATCTCTACAAAATCAGTGGCGAGACGGTTGTCCGAGGTCGGATTGCTTATGCGGCACAGTCGGCCTGGATCATCAATGCTAGCGTCAAGGAGAACATTGTCTTTGGGCATCGATGGGATCCTCACTTTTACGAGCAAACAGTCAATGCCTGTGCTCTTGTTGATGATTTCAGACAACTTCCGGATGGAGATCAGACAGAAGTAGGAGAACGTGGCATATCTCTGTCTGGGGGCCAAAAGGCTCGACTTTCCCTAGCGCGAGCCGTGTACGCAAGGGCAGATGTCTATCTTATGGACGATGTTCTCTCTGCTGTTGACCAACATGTCGGACGCCATTTAATCAACAATGTGCTAGGCCCCAATGGGCTTCTGAACGGAAAAGCGAGGATTCTGGCTACTAACGCAATCACTGTTCTCAAGGAGGCAGACTATATGTACCTTCTTCGCGAGGGCACCATCCTCGAAAAGGGAACATATCAACAACTCATGGCTATGCGAGGCGAAATTGCAACGCTGATCAAGTCCGCTACCGCAGAAGAGGCCGAGTCCGAGGGGGAACGCAGCCCAAGCATAGAAGGAATGGAGTCCGACGACTCGACAACCATCGTCGGGGCCAACGGTGGCAGCATTGAGGACGAACTAGATGACGAGGAGGTCGAGGAATCGCAACAAGAAGTCGGCGGGCTGGTACCTATCCACGCCGGACCCAGTGGTCCCTCGAAAGCCCGCAAATCCAGCTTCAATACTCTCCGTCGTGCTTCGACAACCAGTTTCCACGGACCTATGGGCCGTCTCACAGATGAAGAACATGGTGGTGCACAACTGAAGAGCAAGCAGACCAAAGAAATTGCCGAGCAGGGTAAAGTGAAATGGTCAGTCTACACAAGCTACGCGAAGGAAAGCAATCTCGTCGCTGTGGGGATATACTTCCTCGCTCTCCTGGCCGCTCAAACGGCACAGGTTGGAGGCAGCTTCTGGTTAAAGAGGTGGTCCGAGATCAACGAGTCGCACGGATCGAACCCCCAGGTCGGAAAGTACATTGGCATTTACTTTGCATTTGGCATCGGTGGTGCCGGACTGGTCGTCATTCAGGTACGTACCTGTCACCTCCTAGTGCCCCTGTCTTTGATCTATACTTTGAAGGATCCATGTCTCTTGCCTGGGTTCTTGGTCGGTGTGTACCACAAGGTTGATCCGAACTGACATGAACCTGTGGAAACTATAGACTCTGCTTCTCTGGATTTTCTGCTCGATAGAGGTATGGTTTTCCCCTTCTTCCGGTCTTCAACCCACGCTACCTCCCACTTCTCCAGTCATTGATCACAACGGTCACGTCAAGAGATCATGGTGCAGGCACGCGAAACATGGTTAGACCATCTCTCATCTTGTCTCTGACGCCTTTTCCCATAGGCTTCGAGAAAACTACACGATCGCATGGCATACGCAATATTCCGATCACCCATGAGTTTCTTTGATACCACTCCAGTGGGACGCATCCTGAACCGATTCTCAAGGTACGTTGTACCACCAATGGCGTTGCTGGTAGGGACATCGGTGCTGACTCGGGGATTGAAGTGACATCTACCGTGTTGACGAGGTTATCGCACGAACATTTAACATGGTGAGTGGACACAGAATCACATTTCCGACCCCTTGGAAGCATCTAACCGACCACCCAGCTCTTTGTCAATACCGGTCGCGCACTTTTCACAATCGGCGTCATTGCTGCTTCAACGCCGATCTTCCTGGTCATGGTGCTGCCTCTGGGCTTCATCTACATCATCTACCAGAAATACTACCTCCGCACCTCGAGGGAGCTGAAACGGCTTGACAGCGTCAGTCGCAGTCCGATCTATGCACACTTCCAGGAGTCACTGGGTGGCGTTTCCACCATTCGTGCATATCGCCAACAGAAGAGATTCGCTCTGGAGAATGAGTGGCGCATGGATGCCAACCTGCGGGCATACTTTCCCTCGGTTAGCGCCAATCGCTGGCTGGCCGTCCGACTGGAATTCATTGGGTCTGTCATTATCCTTTCAGCTGCTCTTTTCGCCATTATCTCGGTGGCAACTGGAAGCGGCCTGTCGTCTGGCATGGTGGGCCTTGCGGTAAGTTTCCCCCGTGGTCCGTGGACAGCGGCCATCGTTGTTTCTCATGCACGTCATGGTGCGGACGATACACAGCTTCTGTAGATGACTGACTGCGTTTTTCCGGATTTCAGATGTCATATGCCCTGCAGATCACTCAATCCCTGAACTGGATTGTCCGCCAGACGGTCGAAGTGGAGACGAATATCGTGTCGGTTGAGAGAGTCCTGGAGTACGCCAGCCTGCCCAGCGAAGCTCCTGATGTCATTTTCAAGAGCAGACCGAGCATTGGATGGCCCGCACAAGGGCAGATCACCTTCAAGAATTATTCTACGCGATATCGCGAAGGTCTGGATCCCGTCTTGAAGGATATCAACCTCAACATCAAGCCTCACGAAAAGATTGGGGTGGTCGGGCGCACGGGAGCAGGCAAGAGCTCATTGACATTGGCGCTCTTTCGGATTATCGAGCCGATATCTGGCGCTATCAGGTGCGTGAAACTTTTTGAGAGCGAAGACCTTTTCTTCAATCATTGCGGATTCTCGAGGTTAGGCGAGGAAGTGCTGAGCTAATTTCTATTGCAGTATCGACGGGCTCAATACTTCAACGATTGGGTTGCTAGATCTGCGACGGCGGCTTGCCATTATCCCTCAAGACGCCGCGTTGTTCGAAGGCACGATTCGTGATAATTTGGACCCGCGCCATGTGCATGATGACACCGAACTGTGGAGTGTGCTCGAACACGCTCGTCTCAAGGAGCATGTCTCAAGCATGCCAGGCCAATTGAACGCCGCCATTCTCGAAGCTGGTGAGTTCCGCCACTCCGTTCTTCACCAAAGTGAACGCCGTGCACATGTAGTATTCGTTTTTTGGGGGCATGCTCTGACCACGAGAATTTTGGTTGCAGGTTCCAATCTAAGTCAAGGCCAGCGTCAACTAGTCTCCCTGGCGCGGGCGCTACTCACACCCAGCAATATCCTGGTGCTGGATGAGGCAACAGCAGCGGTGGATGTGGAGACAGACAGAATGCTTCAGGCCACGCTTCGAAGCACCATTTTCCAGAACCGCACCATCATCACCATTGCACATCGCATCAATACCATCCTGGACTCGGATCGTATCGTAGTGCTGCAACAAGGGCGGGTAGCGGAGTTTGACACCCCAGAAGAGTTGATCAGGAAGCGGGGCCTATTCTACGAGCTTGTGCGTGAAGCTGGGCTGCTCGACGGGTTCGGCAATGGTACTGCGAATGCAGACCAGCATTAGCACAGCCCTGAGAGCTTGACAACAAGTGCTTGAAGCAACCATCGGACGGGGAACGAATGCTCTCTCTCCCGTCCTCAAGGTACCAGCATCCCTTGCCGAGTGATGACGCGCGATCTCAGGCGATAAAGCAACGCTGAGACCATGGGCTCCAAGGCTTGTCGATTCACTTCCCTGCTCCACAGCACTTGTGCCGATGGGCAGCTTTCGAGGGGGGAAGCCGCCCATCGCACCAGCGACAGGTTTGGGTGTGATGAGCAGATGCTTTCGGGGGTCAGAGCGAGATTGAAAGATCGCACAGCTTGTGTGGTCCACCCAATAAGAACCGGGAGCATGCACGCCGGCCAGCTCAGTGAACACTTGGATGGCCAGCCTCACCGGCTAGTATATGCTGTGTAACTCACTGGCGAAAAAAAAACAAACAAACCGGGTTTCGGTCAGGTGCCGCGGTAATTGTTGGAGGCTCTCCTCCGGCTAGGCAAACCCCGTCTTCTTGACAACTACTTTCATGGTCGTACAGGTGGGCGCCAAAGGTGTCACAAGGGCGAAAAGTTAGAATCGTATAGGGTTGGACAAAATACTCGGATCCGTGCTGGACGCAGCAAGGCGCTCTCAGATACGGTGATTTCCGTCCTACTGGTACAGGTACCTCGAGCTGTATCATTCTTTTCTCTGAGATCAGTGTACCTGTTACCTATTAATAGCGCCTGTGTCCAGATTGTAGTTGTACGGTTGCACCAGCTGCATGAATAACAAATCCAGGTGTGGAGGCGAGTTTCCTTCGGTGGCGAGTCGCCGAGGATGGGCAGAGAGACCGACCAGCTGTGGCGAGGGGTATCGAGGCAATCGAGCGCCAGTGCAAGTGATCAAGTTGAACCATGTTCAGCCCCTCTGTGGCCTCTGAACTGAAGGAGAAGGTGTCGGGCATGGCAGCTGAAGAAAAGATCCTTGTTGGAAGGCAATGCTTGCGGGCATCCCGTGGCGTACTTACGTACACTAGCTTTGCAGTTTGGCCAGATATTCGTCATTTGAGTGTAAGGGACTTCGATCGAAATAAGGCTTCCACTCTTCCCGTGTTTGCTTTGGACCACCTTTCACAGCCTCGAGCTCTTGATGGTCTCCACGATTGACGCACAAGCCGCCACAGGACGGAGATGAAGCGCGACGTCAGGCAGTGCCACGACGGACCCCCCAGGGCAGCTCGTAGCCGGAGACAATGCTTGGGCTGCCATCCTCTTGTACGCAGAGGCAACTATCTGCGCTGTGGTCACTTTCCCCGCCCCCGGACGGCTGCAAGTTTTAGGATCTTGGCCGTTTGAGAAGGAGATGAACCCGAGATGCGAGGGCGTGTTTGGATAGGACCACGGCTGCAGCCAGTGATTGCCAAGGAACACTCCGCAGAGGTTTGAGCTTTCAGTACTCGGTACTAGCTAGGCAATAGGCTTGCTCAGGTCCAGATCGAATTGCCCTTGCCCTGGAGGAAGGTCCTAGCTCTCTGGCCTCCACTTGTCCAGTGGACTAGCCCTGGTCGACAATCGATGACAAAAGCTGGTGGGGTTCGAGGGGAGGCGACAAGATTCAAACAGAAGCCAGGGGCAGTCTCATTGTCAAGGTCTGGGGTTCTTGTCTTCTAACCGCTCGGCAGCTCCCGTCAAGCCGGTCGCCAGGGCTGGTCAAGTGCTGGAGGTCTCGGAAAAGGGAAGATGTGACAGCATCGTGTCTGCAGTTTGCTTGTGCTGGTGAGGAGGAAGAGCTCTGGCCCACGACGTTAGCTAGCTAAGGGGGGCGACTCAGCCGAACGATGTCCAGACAGCAGACTCTCGGACACGTTCAGGACTGCTGGAGCCGGAATCGGACTGATTGGACAATTGATCGATCGACCGCTTTGGACTTGGTAAGGGCAATTCGCAGCTTGGGGTGGGACAGAAGGAATGCCTTAGCGTATTAGTTTGCCGAGAAGTTGTACAGAAGGGGCAGGCTACCAAGAGGGGAGGAGACTCGAAATTCGCCAGAGCAGGAAACAGATACTCGAAGAGAGCTCCCTGGAGCTGCTGAAGCTGCTGCTAGTAGCAATGGTGTTGCATGATGGTTGCGCATGAAGACGGGGTGCTGAAGCGGAGCTACTGACTTGAGGCGATAAGGCCAGTGCAGTTTGTTGCCAACTGCCGGGACCTTTTTCTCCCTTCTCTGCAACTCGTAGATGGTCCGCAGCCACTACTACTCACCCCTGCTCGTGGGTCACCTCCCTACCACCTGCTGGCTCCCTTTTTTTCCCGTTACTCAGACCTGGCCCATGCCCATTTCTGCCTGGCACAGGCCGGAATCGTGCTGCCGTCGCTTGTCTGACTCGCCTGAATCATCAAAGCACAAGCCCTTGACGGCGACTCAATGCATGGGATCCCCCTGCAGTCCCTTAACGGGCCGTTTTTGCCCCAGAGCGCCAAATCCGTTAACCCCAACCCTCCCGATTTCGCCAGAAAAGCCCATTTTCCCCTACAGACAAGATTTTAGGCTGAGGTCTGCGTCCATGCTGAACAGAAGGGATCCTCGTCGGAGACAACTGAGAGCCTTGTACTTGTCCAGCCAAAAGAGGCACCTCGATCCTAAGGGAAAACAGGCCCAAACCAAACCGTGACCCAGAACGTGACGGACCGGTGCAACGAGGGACAAGCCCGACAAAAGTCAACTCCCCCCTCCTTCCTCCCTCCTCCTTCTCACTTCTCCCTCCTCTGTGCGGAAACACAAGCCTTTGGAAAGAGATGGACTTCTGGTTGCAACATTTCTTCTGACAGCTGCCGCCATTCTCGAGACTTGCTATCTTCCCTCTACAATGGGAGCTGTCGCTCACTGACAGACCAACACCACCACGTCCGCTATCATCCACCCCACCCACCCACCTCTCCCTCCCCTCTCTTCAGTCTCGCTCCACGAACATATGCCCCATTCTATCTCAACTCTCTCTGGCCCCCCTCCTTGCCCATTGGCTGCTTGCATGGCGTCGTCCGATTGGCAATCGCATATACATCTTCGTCTGGACCACTCCGGGGAACTCGGTTTCCTCTTCCTTTCCTTAGACTCTTTGATTTGTACCCAGCTGGCCAGGCCATCCTGCCGCTCAGTCCCTGCCGTTATCCACGCCTCAAGCCTAGACGGTCGAGAAAGCAAATTCAAGCAAACAATCCCCAAAGAAACCGATTGACGCAAATTGCTGGACCGTCACCCCTCTCTCTTGGTCGCCCTGTTCGTTCAAGCCCAGTCTCCTCAAAGACTTCACTCATTGAGAAACGACTCGAAATCCTCCGTCGTCTGAAGCTCTTCCATACGCCCATCTTCACTCCGAAGCACATACTGTCCGACTCAAATATAGCCCACGGCAATTGCAGCTCCCGGATGGCTGTTTAGAGCCGGGAACCCGTCCCCTACCATCTCGCTGGCCGGCCTTGTCTCTGTTTTCGTCGTTTTTGTGTGGTGGTTTTGTTGTTATTACTTTTGTGGTGCATACAGCGGGGCGACAGATACATTGGACACTCACACGACCCAAAGACAGTTCGAGATTGCGCCTTCTATCCGGGCGCCAAAGCCACCACAGCATCATTTCTTTCTCGTCGTGACCGAGGCCCGTACCGGCCAAAAAGGCGAAGAAAAGGTTCGTGGTGTTTCCATCTCTCTGTTCACCATATGTTGTTCGTCCGAGATAAGTGCGATGATGCGCATGTCGTCCTCTTTGACGCTGGCGGATGTCGAGGAACTGACGATCCGTCTCCATGAACGGCCGGCAGTGGGGAATGCCCCCAGCAATTAGCTCGGGGTTCCCCAGGCATACAGGATGACTGGGTTTGGCTCTAACTTAGCCGCACCAGCCGCACAGCAAACGCCTTGCCCACCAAGGCCTAGTCGCTCTTGATGGTCCTGTTCGAGCATGTGGTGAATCGTTAGAAGATGGCGAACGTGGACACACTAGCCGTCCCCCCGTTTTCACTCTGTTGCTCCCTGCCCTCCCCTTCCCCTCCACAGGCACACCGCTACAAAATCTTGCGTCTAGGCTCCTAGGCTGCACTCGTCGGGGCTTCGTCTTGTCATTGTATACATGAGGGCCCAGGCTTCCGGCTCGGGTCACAATCGCTAACAATTATGCGCTTCCCGTTAGAGTCAACTCTGCTTAGACAACTCCTCGAATGTCGAGTACTCTTTCTCCACTTACCGCAACCCAGTCATCCAGCACTGTGGATTGATCCTTCGCATTGAAAATGACACACGAAGTGAACTTCAAATCCTCCCCTCGATCTCCTCTAGAAAAGCTCTCGGCCACACCACCAGAAGATCCAAAAACAGTTGGCGTCGCAGTCTCCAGTCTCACCAAAGAAGCTAAGCAGCAATACTTGATAGTGAGCCATGCCTCAAGGAATGATAGAGGCGAGAAGTCGAGTTAACATCCTATGCAGAATGAAATCAAGAAACTCGTCGAAGACTGCGAAGATTTCATCGGCCTGGTGCCTGGCCCACATGGGGTCCCTGAGGTTATAGTTTCCCCAAACCTCAGAAAGGACAGATGGGCGATCATTGGGGAGGCTCATGTGACCTTTGGTCAATACATGTCGATGCGTGGCCCCAGCGCTCCCGGTATGTGATCTTCCCAGGCGGCTCATGGTAGTACTGACTCGACCAGACCATTGCTGGGGTGGCAACCATCCCAGCGAAAGGCCTTCGAAGCCAGAGCCCCCGACAGGTGCTGGAACACCGGGCGGTGCAATCACTTGGCCCGCACAGCGTCCGCTGAAGCGACACAGATCAAAAACCAACATCTGCTCAAGAAACTCATCACGATCAAAGCCTCAGCAGACTGGTGGGGGCGCGAGACTCTGGGAAGCTCCTGCATCTCAAATCCGCGTGGACGACCACGAGAAGCTAGCCCAGTGGTATAGAGAGGCCTTCTTGATACTGCAACAAGTGGCTTGTCGGCTGGTAGCCAAGGTCTGGATCAAGAGGATCCATCCCAAGAAGGT